CAAAGTTACAGCTCTTTGACAAGTGTTCAAATGGATGAGTTGGCTTTAGGTTGGTCTCCTTTCTAAGGTTTTGGTAACCCAAAATGTCATTTTTTTTAAATATCGAAATATGCTTTGGCATTTCATTTGGGTGCGGACATAATGACGCAACTAGAATGACCCACTTACTAGACATTTTATTTCGGTCCTCTGAAATCTTCCATTTGTTCAAGCTTTGTAGGCTCCTCCAACAAAGGCAGTGCGAGAGATATCGGTCTAAAAATGAAATTCTTGAGTGCTCGTGTGTAGTCGACTATAACAGGTGTTCCTTAACTCCCTTAGTTCAACATTACCGAAAATTTCTTGCTCAGATAAATTTGATTTAATTTTCCATTGTCTGGCTAGCTGAATCCATAAATTCGGGGCGTTTAACCAATTACTTTAGAGGGACAGCTTAACATTATAATCACTTTTATCAGGTTTAATTGAAGGGTTCATCTCATCACAAAGTCTTCGGCCTGACAAAAGTAGTGGAGCAAACACCGAATTGCCAAGTGTCCGAGCAATGTCATGGTTTGAATACAATCTATTCATAAAGCCAGGGCTTTCGAGTTTCCTCTGTAACCAATTGCCTTAGTGGAATAGCTCCGTTTTATGGATTTAATTTCTTAAGATTGTCAAGAATAACCTATTATAGTCTAGGTGTTTGTTGAAAGTAAAAAATTTCATCTTTAGAGTTCAATTTCCAAGCAACTGACCTAAACTAGATTCACTTACTCGACTATTCCATATGTGAAGATCATTATCATCACTGAACGTTCTAAATAAAAAGCATAGTAACGTCATATGCAAAAGGATGCCTCATGTTGTCCGCATTTTATGAAAGGAAAAGGTTATATTGGTTAATTGCAAGAGCAATGAACAGTGTTTGAGGGTATATTTTGGGTAAGGTCAAAGTCCTTGTTTTAAACTGCGTCAAAGATCTGTAACTTTGAACCACTTACAGAGTTTCTTAATTCATATGATATTCAAAGAATTGCAAGTTTACAAATGTGATTCATTGCTTATCATCTTTAAAGTAACATAAATTTATTCAAAAGTCCTTATACAAACTTGGGAAATAATGAAAAAACAGATTCAAACAGAATGCCTCAAATGATGAAATGATCTTCCTCACTTGGATGCCCCCAAGTTGTTGAAGTTGATCCGATTCTTGTTATGTATTTTCTGTATGATTCTCTTGATTGTGGAGTAATTCTCGATTGTGCGCCCTGGGACTCCGCTATGATTTTCCCTGGATATGGTGACACCACATGTGTGTGTCAAAAAGTTATTTGTAGAGCTCTTTGTAGGTCATGAGAATAGGGTCGAAATGTTCCCATTTTTTATGAAACATGTGAAGATAATTAATGTGAATGTAAAGAAACGAACAAAATGCAAAATGTTTAAATGCATGATGCATGAAATGTCCAAGGCATTGATCCGAAAAATGTGCCTATTATTCTGAATAATCCTTATTGGGGACAAAAATGTTATGTCTGAAGAGACAAAAAACTTTTTGATGGTATAGATCCCGCACAACCTTGGGAAAGTTGATTCGCCTTCCGCTTTTTCACCGGTTGAATATCTTGTCGAACCATTTCAGCTCATCTCGTCTTGCCTATAATCTTAGACTCTCAAAAATTTACTTTAGTGTGCTCGGTGTAAATTCCGGTCTATTCGGAGTCCTTTACAATGTAGCAATGTGACATATTCTTCGATTGCAGGTATCACGTCTTCTGGATTGAATGTGACACATAATCGCCCTGTAGACTATCCTCTGTATTTTCATCTCTTGTATTACAACCCCTTTGTCCATTAATGCAGATTATTCATGTTTAACAAACACATTTTGGTGGATCAAACCTCTTTAAAATGATGCATATGATGTAAATAAAATAAAAGAAAAAATGAAAAGAGTTGTAAGGTAAATCAAAATAATAAAATGAAAAATCCTACCCCACATGATATCTACCCGAACATGCTTAGTATTCCTACTCGGACATGATCTCTATCCCGCATGTTACTTTCAAACAAATCCTAACCGCATATTGTCTAGTTCGCATGCTTTGAACAGAAATTAAAAATGAAATAATTCTGGCATCCTAGGGTTTGAAATGAGGTTTTGGGGTAGGTTTATTTCCATAGTCTCCTGGTTTAGGTTCTAAAAAAAACGGTACCCAAGTTCTCCTTGTTGGTGTCCCCTTGGGCTTACCAGACCCTTAGTCCTAAGCTCATTACAAGCTTATGTGGACTAAGTTAAACTCGGGAGGATACATTCCCTTATGCCCATACGGAGAATAAATTCACACGAAGGCATAAGGTATATGAATCCTGAAGGTTACTTGCTAGGCCCATACGATGAATAAATTCACACGAAGGCGTCGCTTTCACCCCCACTTAAATAGGGTTCGGAGCTCGGGTATAGAGCCTTTAGGCAAAAAAATCTTTAAGGGCTGAAATAATTAAAAAACGGTCAGTACAACTATTTACTCGAAAATATAATCAAAGATAAATAATTGGAATCGAATAAAAAAATTTAAATTTAAATTTAAAATTTTCGCAAAAAAAGACAACTGAAAATTAATTTTGGCCTGACTCACTTACCTGTCCCCAGCGGAGTCGCCAAGCTGTCGGAACCGTCTTTCGGTTGTGCCCCGGAATGGGGCTTCGACGTGAAAAATGGATTGGGAGTCGCCACCGATCATTTATTTAAAAATAAATGGGTTGACCGGATACCTTGTAATTTACCTGATCTGCGTCTTACCAAAGATGTGTCGGATTCGGGAGTCGGTTACAGTCAAGGAAGGGTTAGCACCCTTGAATTACCCTTTTGGTACCAATTAATTTTCCAGTTATCTTAATCGCGAAAATTAAAATTTAAAAACCCGATTCGAATTACTTACCTTTAATCAATTTAAAAAATATTCCCCTAAAAAGTCAAAATATTAGACTAAATAAATAAATAAATACTAAATAAATCAAATAGAAATAAAAAATAAAAAATAGAAAAAATAAATGAAGCGTTCCGAGTCTATTTAAAATAGGAGCAAATGAAAATCTCAGAAATCAATATAACTAAAGCATGTAAAATTTCAATTAAACTTAAAATAGTAAAAGTGGAGCAGGCACAATGTTTCTCCCTTTTCCTGAGTACTCCGAGCGCGCCTGTTGGTGGTCCCTAGCATCAATCGAGCCCCTCCTCGCTCCATCTTTGTGGTTCAGTCTTTTCATCGGAGCTAGGTTCATCCCCGGGATCGAACGTCGGGTTTAGAAGTCGATGGGGTCGAACCTCGATGGGAATGTAACTGGACCCGGTTTGGGCGGAGCAAATGGATTTGGCTCCGTTTTTCAAGCGGCGACCCCAACTGATGAACTTGGATAAAGTCTTGGACTTGTAAAACGATCCCGCTTGTGTCAGACGATGGTACCCATATGGGTTCCGAGCTTTGCGCGTGAACCATCTGGAAATCCGGACTACCCGTTGGAAGAAGAAGAAAACATTCAAATGGAGAGACAGCAGGGCATTGGACAAACACGTACTGTCCACTCTTGTACCAAAATTGAGGTGGCTTAGACATTTGCAATGTGAGAACACCTCCAGAAGCCATTGAAGACAGTGATTCTGTCAAAGGGCTTGGGCAGTGTAATCAAGTTCCACTGAAACCATCCTGTTGCCAATGTAAACGCAATGGCCATGAAGATAACCATTAGAACTCCAGTCACTCCTTCAATTCCATTTTTTTGCTTTCTCTTGCTCTCTTCACTTTTCGTTTTGTTGTAGGTTCCCCCTGTAGCCCGAAATTACAACCATTAAATAATAATTCCCCCTTCTCCCCCTAACAAATGTGACCGGGGTTTACTTATATATCCCACTGCTTTGGATATTCCAAGTTATGAAGTGGAAGTTTTAGATGGGCGCATATTGTGGGGGTAGTGGTTTAGTGGAATAGTGGGGGGAAGTTATGAGATAATGGTGGTGGTTGGATCCTTGTTGGACCTATAAACAAAACAAAAAAAATGAAAAATATATATTAATAATAATAATAATAAATAAATTATAATGATATAAAACCGGTCAAAAACGGTTGTCTACACATCCCTAACCAATAACAGCTATTTAAAGAAAGACCCCTTTTTTATCCACCGACAGAGATGATAGGAAACTCTTCAACAGATGGTGACGATACTCAGAAATTCAACGTCTCTCACTGTTTACATAATTCACTGTTGAACCTTCTCAAATGTGTGTTTATGGGGTCAGTCCAAGAACCATGTCTCTAAAATACCCTTATAAACTCAACTATTGCAGAGGCACACGTGGGGGACGTTATGGCTCACTCTACCTTATCTTAAGGGTACATCTCCATCGCTAAGGGTTAGTACTACTGCCCTTATCCATGACACGGTTTAGTCGCTGGCTTCATTGGATTGTGACATATTTGCACGCTGAAAAGCATCCAATGTGTCGTAAATGTGAAAGAGATCCGCCTGTCTTTTTACATTTAGGTTCGAATTACCCCCCTTTTTTTATTCAAAGTCAAGATTCAAAAAGACAAGGCAGTAGAAAAAAATGAATTGGATTTTGCATCATTGGGTTTCTTGATTTTAAACAAGCAGCCGCAAAGAATGTCAATCCCTGAAGGGGTGTTGGGATACAAAGCACGAACATAATCATTCCATTTTGTTTTTACCTATGATTTTGGATCGTCCTAATTGCTTGCCCGTTTACACTTATTTCATGTTAAATCTTGTTTTACTTTTGCATATTATCACACTTCGCTTGGTAAAGTAAAAAAAAAAAATTTAGAATGATGAAAAATTAGAAAGGTAAAAAAGTAAAAATATTTTTTATTGGCCATTTGGTAGAAAAAATAAAATGAAAATAAAAATACAATTTTCATTCCTTTCATTATTTGGTTGAGTTGAAAAAATAAAAATTAAATTAAAATTTGAAAATATATAATTTTGAATTAACTTACATCTTTCTTTTATTTTTCTTCTTTTCCTTTTTAAATTGAAATATTTTCTTTTAACAATTTCTATTTTGAGAGAGGGAAAAGGAAAATTTTACCAAATTGATATGATTTGATTTTACACATGAAGATATAAAATGGTCATTTATTTTATAACATTTTCTTTTCTAATTTATCTTAATACAAGGAAAAGGTTAAAAAAATTAACCAGATAAATTCGAACAAAGGTAGATACGAACATATCTAACTGTATGAACAACAAACCACAAAAGGGAATCAAGTTATTGAAAGCTACCGACAAACTATAAATCATAGTCGACGTGAAAAAATATCTGCAAATGCAAGTAGTATATCCAAATCCAATCTGAGGCCCAAAACAGGAACGATCAATATGATAATAAATAAGCACTATATTAATCAGTCGTGGTGATGTCAAATCCAACCCTAAGAAAAATTATAAGCAAAAACAATGGTCAATCAACTAAAAACATACCATAAAGAAAAAAAAATCATAAAGGTAGAGTTATTGAAAATTAAAAAACAAGAAAAAGATAATGAACAATGAATATCATTGGTTGACGATCAGTATCAAGACTAATATTGTAGTCAATCACGAAATTAAAGAAGAAGAAAATCTAATAATTACAAAAGAAAGGGAGAGAAAACTGGAAAAATCACTTAATTCAATTTTCTTCTTCTTAACTTTAATTTCGAGAAGTTATAAGGACAAACATTTTTGTTTTTGGTTCTAAATTTAAAGAACCATTAAGTTCAGCATCAGCAGGAGAGAGATTTCATTTTGCTTTTTATTGGCACGAGTAAGCCCAATTTTGTTTACCAAAAAACAAAAGGAGTAAGCCAAGTTAAGTGAAATTTTATGATCCGAGCTTAATCCGAAAATCTAAGAAAAATAGCAGTATGGATACCCGACTACAAATTCAGGTATTTAATTATAAATAGCTGACAATTTTTATTCGGGTCAAAGGGTAAGATAATTCTTGTCGGATATTTTTTAACATCCATACTTTGTACTGGGAAATAATAATGTTGGGCTGTGCCCATTATCAAATATAAAGCCCAATTTAGCCTGCAATTGGATTTTGGGCAATGGCTTTACCTCTTGAATTTCCAATTATTGGTTTTCAAAATAACTAAATTGGGCTGTGGCATCTCGGTCCACCAACTATGAATGGGGCCCAAAGAAGAGAGTTCAGTTCAGTAGATGATTTTTTTTTACAAGGGACAAGGGTAGGAGTCTCATATCGAAAATCGAATTCAAGATTATACGTTCATCCATCTTTAATTTTTATCTTAATACCATAGACTCGATTGACCAATCATGTAATTTCTTAATTCTGTTTAAAAAAAGGTACTTAGAATCCACATTTTTAATAAAATGAAAACAGCAGTTGTAGTGGATATCCAGGCAATCTTTTTCAAAAATTATTAAATAAATAAAAAGCCCACAATCAGTTCTCTCAAAGCACGCCCTATGATATAAGTATTAAATAAGCATAATAGTAAATTTAGTCTATAATATTTAAATTTTTGTCTATTTTTTTAAATAATTATCAAACCATTGAATTTAACTATTAATTTTTAATTTTTAATTCACATGTAATTCATTATTTGTATGACGCTAGTTTATTAATATAATAATATACTTCGCCTTACACTATTTTATAATAAATTAACTTAAAAAATATACGTGTGGCGGATTAAAAGTGAAGTTCAAATAAATAATGTACGTGTGGCGGATTAAAAGTGAAGTTAGAAAAAGAATGATATAGGATATTCTTCAAAATTAAATCATTTATAAATTTGATAAAACATGATTTGAATAATAAATGGATAAACTGGCATCCCCATATGTCAGATAAGCATAAGCTGTAAAGTGGAGTTTGAAGATTTGGTCGAGGTTCGGTATTTTAATCTTCAACGGAAAAATCTCATCAAATTTGGAAGTGGAAAGTACGACGTCCATACATAATTTAACTTTCTAGATCACATTATATTTGTGGGTCCAAACTATATTATTTATTTTCCTTTATTGGCTGACATGGAAGAGGGATTCGCTACAACGCAAACATTGCCGACACCCAGTTTAAGTCGACACAACAAGAATCACGAAATTGTTAAGTCCACTTGGTTTGCAAACGCAAATTTGTTTTTGAAATATTTTGGTGAAAAAACACATTTTGATTGTTATGTTACACGACTTGCGTGTAAACATGTTTTATATCGATTTTTCACTCAAAAGTATATTATTTTTGAGAAAAAAATAATTTTATAATAACGGATCTCTTCATTTAAAAACACATATCTAATTTTATTAATCTGTATATTAAAATAATTCGAACCATAACTTTTATAAGTTTAATAGTACAGATTCACTCCACTATACATTATACAATTCGTAAACACAAATATATAAATCAAATATAAATAAAGAGGTATGACTTAAGCATTAAAGTTAAGTGATTGAGATTTAGGAATTAAATTTCTAAGGTCATATTCGAATCCTACCACCGTCACTCTTGGTGGACAATATGTAAATTCATATATAAATCTTAATTAAATCTTAAATATGTCCTGACCTTAAACTAGAGAAGCCACCCCGACTTAAACTTTTTGTAAAAAAAAATAATAATCAACAAAGTTCAACAAAATAACAACCATGCATAAAATCATATCAAAAAATTGTTTTACCGTAATATCTTATACATATGTAACACAAAAGTGATATCGCAATCATAATACTCAAACTACTCCTTTGAGAAGTATATTAAATTGACGGATTGCATATGTACTCGAATCATTGGATGTCTGAATAATCATGCGTCATTCATAATATAAAATTAAATTAGAATATCGAGTGCCTAATGTGATTCATCAATCGTTATTTATGATCAATAATAAACCAAATCAAAATTTTGAGTTTTGATGTGACTCATTGATCGTCAGTTATGACTACAAATTAAATCAATACTCGAAATTACCCCCTCTAAGACATTTAGGAGAGAAAAATTAAACGAATGAGATAACATATATATATATATATATATATATATATAAAAGAGATGAAAAAGAGCGATATCACACTTCAATCTTTTATCCTCTTTTCTTTATGTAAAAACAAAACAACATAAATAAGAGACAATATTTTTTTCAAAAATATGATTTAATTACTTTATAAATAGATTTTTATTTGTAATTTAAAAATCTTTTTTGTATATCCAATTGTGTTAAATTCTCACATAGTTAAATTAAGATTTGATCGGATGAATCTAATTACTCAAATAATTTTTTTCATTCATAGTTCATATTAATAATTAAATACTAATTTAAACATTCGTTACAGGGTGAATCATGATATTTCAATTAACATGTCATTAATTGATCACTTGAAGCATTTCGAAAAGTGTTTTTAGTGGACACTTGTACATTTATCCTACAAGTCAGATTTTCCCCCTTTTCCCACATTAGTTCCTGATCTACAGTCATGGCTGGCCCTAACTCAATCCACTTTTGTTAACTCTAAAAGCACAATCGTTGTCATTTATACCAAAATTATGATCCATTTCAACCTACCACCCAATTACCCATGAAATGGCAGTGAAGTATTAACTTTGCTTCTTGGAAAACTAAGCTACATAATGACAATCATCTTGACAATAAGAAGTCTGATCCATTACCGACAACCATACAAAATGACAATAAGAAGAATGCTGTCTTACATTTTGTTAATTGTCTTGCTTAATTTATGTCCATTAGAACTCTGTTGGAAAAACCGTTAATACGAAAACCTGCAACCCACAAAGGTTAACGATTGGTAACAATGGGAAAACTTGTTAGACAAATAAAAGAGAATAAATTTTCGAAAATAAGGATATAAAACAAAGTGACACGTGGTAGTTGAAAGGAGGGGGACCAGAACTCATGCAGATGCAATTGACTCTCTGTTAATGTTTTAGGAAATAAGAAAAGTTAGAACAAAAGATCGCGTATGATCAAAGTTGACGGTGGAGATTGAAGAGAGGAGTTACGTCAGAATATCATGGACGTTGAAAGAGAGGGAGGAGGATGGGGTAGAAAAACATAAAGGTAACATAATTGTTAAAAAAAGGGGAAAATAATCGAAGGGGATATGAGTGAGGATCCATCAAAAACTCGAAAAGTGTTAATGATAATGTTATCATTATCTTCATTACACTCGCGTGCGCATGAACACTGAATCCCGTACGTCCATTTTTATTTTGTGGGGTCCGTCATATAAAACTGCGGCACACACCCGTTCCTCTGTTCGTTTATTTACTATTTTGTTTTATTTTTCAAAAAAAAGTAAATTACACCAAAAGATTATTGAATTATTAATAAAAAATATAATAATATATTTTAATTAGTTAAATGGATTATATTTTAACATATAAATTGCTTGTAAAACTCAAATATAACAAAAAGATGTTCAAAATAGTATGATGACAATTCTTTAGAGTGTGTTAATAGCGTGCATGGGTTGGGAGCCGTGAAAAAAGGCAATTTATATGATGACATCATTCGTATCTACAACCGGGCCCCTTGATATTAAAATAATAATATATGGTCGATTGGGGAAAAGACAAAGCGTCTAGATTTCCAATCTACCTACGTGGCAGTATTCCACTGCGGCTCCATAAACCCCACTACTTTCTAGAGCCCCACATAAAAGCTGTTACGATCCCTCAATTGTTCCACGTGTATGGCTCGTCTCGACTCTTTCACGTTACCCAACTTGCCACGTCATATCACAGTGAGACCTCAGTAAATATTTCAATACTTTTCCAACGTAATTATTTTTATTACATTTTTAACGATTTTAAAAAAAAATACTTGATTCTTTTTATGTAAATAAGTTATTATAATATTTAAAGGTTTGGAGTTCTCAATAAAGAAGAAAGTATTATGTGATTCTTTTTATGTAATTAATTTACTGTTATAATAATAGGTATGAAAATATTTTTATTTTTTAAAATATAAATAAAGGGACCACTAACCTCATGG